TTGGAAAGCCAAGTACAGATGTTACAGCAGAAGTGGGAGGAGGATTCTCGGCCTTTCTATTGTTGTGAGTGAGCTCTGCAGTCTCAAGCATAAACAGTTATGTTCCAAAAATATCCACATATTTCACTGTCATGTTCTAGCCTGATGACAGCCAGTGTGATGAATTATGGTAACTTCTTTACCCAGATGCAGAACAATCTCTGGTGGGTTTCTTCTGGTTATTGTTTGGGTGAAGATATGCTCATTCAGGAGGAGCATGTTGTAAAAGGAGGGGGCAGCAGAGGCAAAATAATCTCCACCTTATGTCTTTTGAAAGGTTTTCATAAAGAAAAAATATTGCCTGAAATGCAACCCAGGGACTGAAACTTAGTCCCTGCTGGATTTTGAGTTGGAGGACTGAGGTTCAAATTCTGGCTCCATACTTTCTACTTGTGTGATCCTAGGCAAATCATTTCATCTCTCTGGCCCTCACTTTCATTCTCTACAAAATGAGAAGTAGGACTAGATGATTTCTAAGATGGCCCTCTAGCTCTAAATCATGAGTCTTCAAAACAGATGCATACTTTGAGAGGGCCTACGTTCTAATCTCAACTATGCTGCCAATGTACATGACCACTGGCAAGCCGCCTCACCTCTTTGGGGCTCTTTTTCCTCATCTGTAAAATAAGAAAGTTGGGCTAGATAATCTCTAAGATCCCATTCTCCTCTAAATATTATGATTCTACAGGCCTATAGTGAGATTGTAAGAGAAGAAAAGTGTGGAAGAAAATTCTATATTGTGTCACTTCATTGGAACAGACCTTTGTCTATGGATATATGGCTGCTATCATCTGCGCATCCCTATGATTTAAGGAGGGCCCCTTTAGCATACAGGAAGAGGGTATTTTTAGAGAGAGTGGATTGATAGAGAGAGTGACTTGCAAACTTTGGCCATTTCAGATCCTGATAAAGACACTTTTGCTTGAGTGTTATTATAAAAAGGAAAATTCAAGAAATAAAAGGTTGGGAGAGAAGTCAAGGAAATAATACCAATGCTTATGTCTTACTATTAATAAATAAAATTTTAATATTCTTATTCAATTTATAAACCCATCAAATTTGATAGAATCTAGGGGAATTTTAAAAAATGAAAATGAAAGTACCAAGGACAGCATATTTTCACAATGAAAAATTAGGGTGACGGATTAGGAAGATTGAGAAGGGAATAAAGCAAGTAAAATTTTTATCTGAAAAAAGGTAACAAACCTGTTAGTGGTTGTTTCAGTCTCCGGCATCCCTCTAGTCATGCCCAAAATTCATTTGAATTAACCCAAGTTAAACAGCTATTGACTTCCTAACATATTCCAACAGTCAATCAGTAAGCATTTATTAAGTGCCTACTATGTGCACTAGGGATACAGAGATACACAAAAGACAGTCCCTGCTCTCAAGGAACTCATGGTCTATAGGGGGAGACAACATGCAAACAACTATGTACAAACAAGATAAATACATGTTAAACTGGAAATAATCAACAGAGGAAAAGCGTTAACGTTAAGGGGGCCTAGAAAACATCCACTGCCTAGTAGAAAGCCCCAACGTTATTAACCATATTCAACAGATTTCTTCTGCAGGAAAAAGAGAAAGCATTTCCCCTTTCTCTTACCCCAACCCTAACTGTTCCAGTGTCAAACACAGGAACACCCATGCTGTGAAACACTTCCAAAGGATGCCAGGATAACAACAAGCAAAATGTTATGTCCCAACAGTCTGCAGATCCTCAAGTCCCAGAGTTAAGTACTGGTAAAACCAAATGACAAATTAAGCCAGACTCTACCAGCAAAGGAGCTTCTTCCAAAGGAAGTGGGAAACTTTGTGAAGTTGTATTAACTCTTTCAGGCCATTGAAGTATCCGTTAAAAATAACAAAAGAAACAACTAAATAGAGCATGAGAAACTTGGAGTGCTAATATAGTATCTCACTTGCTCCCAAGGAAGAGAGTACAAATAAGAGGGGAGAAAATCTCTTCTCTTCATCTTCATCTTTCATTCCTACACTACTTAACTACAGGAGGTTACTCAGCAAAACAGTCTTCAGTGAAAATTAATGATATGGGGGCAATCGTACTCTAAAAAGCACAAGTGTGACGGGAGGCTGGCCAATTATGGCTGTGTCCTGGGAATATGTGAATTTAATGAGCCTGCTTCTAGAAGTACTGGATGACGTGGAATTGGGAGCAGGGAGGATGACACATGGGTAGGGTGAGGAAGAGGAAAGTTTGCTCTCCATTTCAGAGCATGTTTGGTATTCTGTGACTGCTTCTGGGCCCCCTAACCGTGTGATGAAGAAACAGACTTCGGATTAGCTGCTGAGACAAGCCTACATATGCCTTCTAAAGGCATACTTCAAAAGTGGACAAAGTGAGATTCTCTCTCCCCTGCCTGGCTACATTCAGGTGAGGAGGAGAGAACTGATATAAACCTCTAGGTGGGGAGAGTTCTAATGAAGCCATGAGCACAAAGCTCTATTGTTATTTCTGTCTCTGTTGTGTCTATTCTATTCTGCCTTAGGGAGATGGAATAGACTAGGCTGAGAACTAGCAGGGAGGTTCAAAATGTTGAGAGAGCTGCCAGAGGTCCATGGTTGGGAAATCATGCCAGAGTTTGTTGCCACCGTATCCCTAGGGAGTGATGTGTGGTACCAAGCCCAGCAATGAATTGGACCCAGCAGGTGACATGCTATTTTCTAGAGTGACTTTGTCATGGACTATGCCATAATTGGAAGTGAAGTTGTTGGCATGAATGATATAGGGCTGGTGTTTTGTACTTCTGTTCTTGCTATATCTTCTCAGTTAATACCCTTTTGTAAAATCTCATTGATGTTAATTGTTAAATGACACAGGGTAGCCGATCAGTGGGTTAAGCAATGAAATAAGGGAGACACCAACTATAACTAGAGATTGATACTGGTATGAACACACTAGAATGGAGACTTCAGCTGATAGTATTAGAAAAATTTAACAGAAAGATAGGCACACTAATGCATTATTAATGGGGCTGTGATTTTATACAACTGCTTTGAAAATCAATTTGGAATTATGCAAATAACGTGGCTAAAATGAAAATACCCTTTAACCCAGATATTTCAGCACTAGCTATATACCCCACAGAAAATTGTTGATAAAAAGAAAAGTTCCATACAAAGCAAAATATTTATAGCAGCACTTTGTGGTGGAAGAAAAATGAAAACAAAGTAGATGCCTATCAATTGAAGAATGGCTAAACAAATGGTAGTACATGAATGTAATGGAATATTACTGTGCTGTAAGAAATGACAAATTTGATGAGCATTATTTTGATTTGATGAGAAACAGTTTTATAGTAACTGATGAAAAGTAAAGTAAGCAGAGCCAAGAAAACAATATATACATTGATGATAATAATGTAAATAGAAAGAACAATAACAGTGAAACAATTGAAAATGAATGTTACAAAATTATAAAGGACAAACTTCACCCCAAAGAAGAGGTAAAAGAATATGCATGCCTCTATTACTTTGCTATGTGCATGTGGGAGGAGGGGACGTGGAATAATACATGTCTCATAATTTTTTTTACATCTATTGATTTATTTTTTAAAATCTTCCTGCCTTTCTTTAAATAAATGATATAGGGGGAAGCTTAGGATATGTAAAATCAAAAGATAACAATAAAATGGATTTTTAAAAAATTAAAAGACACTCTAACCCCTCAGGAATATCCCTATAACTCTGAAGGGAAGACCAATACCTCGTCGACTGTTAGAGTTTAAAGAAATCATAGCCTCATAGAATTAAAACTTGAAGCGGCCCTAGGAGTCATTTAGTTTAACCCCTCCTCCATTTTACAGATAAAGAAACTAAGGCTCAGAGAAGAAGTAATATTTTAGGTCTGTTCTCAAAGTGATCATCTGAACTGATCTCCTTACGAACAACAAAAACATACCACTTCCAGGTACCATCTTACTTCTTAGTCTCTCTTACAAAGCAGCACCAACAAGTTAACAACATCAGAAATCTAGATTTTTGTAAGTTATAAGGTAACTGCTCATTATAGTAGGATGATAATTCTAGGTTCTTGAAGTCTATAGCAGCTGATTTTATACTTCAGTATGTCCTACCAAATTGGAAGATGACAAGTATGGATCTCATGACGGACTGTATATCTTCCAGATTAGCTACATTCTGAGAGGTTCATCACTAGGCTAGCTGAAAGGTAGCCACATTACATCTCAAAGACCACTTACTAAGTCATAGAGGATTTTCAGCCTTGAACTGGTTGGTGGGAATACCTACATCAACGAAATAACAGATTCTTGAAATGTTAAAGTTGAAGAAAAGCATGATTGAGCTAGAATTAAATTCATGTGATTGACCCCATAATCTCTGCAGAAGAGAAATCTGCAGAGGAGAGGTGTTAGAAAAATCTAACAAAATAGAAAAGAATCCTACCGAAGAAAGTGACATATAAGGACCTCTCTAGCCTTCAGGCAATTACAAAATTCTAACAGCTAGTCTTGATGTGTTGAGTAAAGGCATCCAAAATCTGGATAAACATAAAGCTGAAATGAATCTCACTTATTTGTATTACATCAGGGGTTCTTAGCCTAGGACCCACAAAGTTAGTTTTTTAAAAAATATTTTTGATAATTGTATTTCTATAAAATTGGTATTCTCTGTAATCTTATATATTTTAATTTATGTATTTAAAAACATTCTGAGGAGTCTATTGGCTTCAGTAGACTGACGAAGGTGTTCAAGATATAAAAAAGGTTAAAAATCCTTGTTACTAGAACCTAGTGACTAGATTCATGATAATAAACACTATCAGCTAGAGTCAGCGTATGAAATCTTTTCCAATTATTTGTGGAAGCTGCTCAGCACTGAAATCTTTTAATAATTAAGTACATCACACTAACACAGAAAAGCTAAGATCAGAAAGCCAGCCTGGACTCTCCAGAGAAAGAGTGACCATCCAAACCTACCGGTGGCACTGGAAACCCTGGAGACATCCTGCGACTGAGTGGAACGATTTCTACTCTGTTGCCTGCGTCGATTAGTTGCTGATCTTGTGGTGCGGACGTGAACCTCACTCACTTTGAAGAATGCTACCATAAAGGGTTGTTTGTCATAAGGGCCATCTCTGCCCACCAGACCAGCAGCTCTTGGGTTGACATTGAGGCCTTTAAAGGAAGAAGAACAAATACATTTTCTCATTCCTCTGAGTAAGATTATTCTCACACAATTCTCTCCCCTTTGCCCCACCACCCATTATCCTGCTTTGCCTCTCAGGCTTCACAAAAGTGGGATATTTAGGGGAAAGTATTTTGGGGGAGGGGAATAATACTAATACCCAACTGGATACCCTTCAAATGGGTGGTTGCAACAAAGGAAACAATTTAACTTCTAACATTTCTTTAGTCAAAGTGCGTAGTGGCAGTGGTGGATGTAGTGGTAAGTGGTAGATAGGATGATACCTTGAAATCAGGACTATCTGGGTTCAAACGCTCACATTGATACATAATGTTTGTGTCACTATGGGCAAATCACACAGATAATATTAATCAGTGGTAGGATTTGTCACTCTTTGCCCCTCAGTTTTCTCATCTGTAAAATGAAGGGGTTGGACTAGATGACTCCTAAAACTCTTTGTAGTACTAACACATATGATGCTATGAATTCTAAAGATTTTCTCTCACTAGTCACACCAACTTCTTTCTTTTTAATATCCTATCTTACCCAAAGGTATAGCTACTTACCACAAAGCACTGATAATGCTTAAATGCCTATGAAGGTTTAGAGATGGAAGAGAAGTTATCCCAGAGAGTATATTGAGAATATTTTTGGGAGGGCGAATTGGCATCCCCATCATACCCCAATACAATTTTGCTTGGGGGTCCAGAAATAAAATTTCTATTCCTGTCTGCCTCTGGTACCTCCTCCACATTCCTATTCTTTTCTTCCCTGTTTCTGCTTTAAAAGTTGTCCTACCCAAGCCACTCTCAGAAACTTGCCCAGCCTGCTTGATGAGTGTAATCTGATCTCTCTATGATACCTGAAGAAGGAATTTTATAAAATGAAATCATATGGGAACAATAACCTTGATTATTGACAAAAACAATAATATTACAACCAGCCCCTGTAAATAAGAATGTCAAAGACCACATGTCCAGCATTTAATAAGTGCTGTGCTCCAACCTACCATCTCTGGTCACCACACTCAGCTGGAGTCCCATGTTATGCTGTGGAGTCATCACCCACAGATTACTGGTAGCAGTGATGTCAAATTCTAACCATCCTTCTTCTGAGGCCCATACTACTCTGGTATCCAGCAAAAACAGGTCAGAATCTCTGAAAGAAACAGACATCAGATAAGATCCATGGGATATCTTCAGTGGATTCTATTCCTCACTTTATTGCTGTCAGATTAGAAGATACCAAAATTAGTTCTCATAACCTAAAATGATTTGAGGAAGCTCAAAAAATATAACTTTAAATGGATTTAATAAACTACAGGAAATAGGAGTCACAATGGTTACACTTAGCATCACAAGTTAGTTTGGTCTTGTTTCTCTACCATCCTTATCCCTTCCCACACCCCTAGATTACAGCAATAGATATAGTTCTACTCTAAAGAATTTCATTTTTCCTGTACTTAAGTGGGTCATTGTACTCCACCTAAAGTCATGATATCATTGCTTCCTTTGTAATGTAGCTAATGAAAATTAAAACTAAAAAAAAAAAAAAAAAGAAAGATAAAATCCAGGATTAGTATAGAATGTTCCCTAAAGCTTTTATTGCCTTTGTTTAATAGGAACTGAAAAACTCTTATGACCTATAGGGTGTGTAGGAGGGAGGAACCCTATCTAATTCCTGGATAATCAGTGATTCTTTAATTTTAATAAAAGCCTTTCAATGGCCTAAAATAATGTTTGAATCAGACACCTTTTTTATAAAGACAACATGGTTTTTGGTCTGTGCTTAGGATATCTTGAAGTTTATCCAAATATAACTGTGGCCAGGACTCACTTAGCATGCTGAGTTTCTGGATTCCAATCCTGCTAACTATTTCTTGGAACCTACCACTTTCCCCGGGCTACATAGGAAACATTTCTTCAGCAGTCAACAAATGTAAAAATCCATAAACTGTCAAAAATATTTTGAAAGGGGACTCAGTAACTCTTGAAATGGGATGTTTTTGCTTGTTATCCATGGGACCATATTAGAGTGGTATCGGAAGACTGGTAGTATTCCAAATTTTAACTCAATGTCCCTGTGGCCACTGGCACAATGACCAACGGAAGTGGGTGAGCAGAAACTCATCTGATGAGTTTCTCTATTTTTAAGGACAAGAATTTTTTTTATTACAAAGCTTTAAATTAACACATAATAGGCACATTTATACTAGCACTATAAATATTTTACTGAAATAATTGCTACCTTGCAGGAACAGAAGCTTGCTTAAATTCAATAGAGTGTGTGTGTGTGTGTGTGTGTGTGTGTGTGTGTGCGTGCGCGCACGCGAGAAAGAGACACATACACATACACACATGTATGAGTATATGTAGATACATAGATAGATATGTGTATTGGGGGGTGTATTTATGATTGTTGTAAGAGCCAAACCACAACAATAGACAGAGTTGAGTCATTGGTCTTTCAAAATCCTTATAAGTGGGCAGAAACACATTATTATTGTTTAGTCATTTGAGTCATGTCTGACTCTTCATGACTCCATCTGGAGTTTTCTTGGCACAGATACTGGAGTGGTTTATCACTTCCTTCTTCAGCTCATTTTACAGATGAAGAAACTGAGGCAGATAGGGTTAAGTAACTTGCCCAGGGTCACCCAGCTATTAAGTGTCAGAGGCCAGATTTGAACTCAGAAGATGAGTCTTGCTGACTCCAGATCTGCACTCTATCCACTATGCCACCTATCCAATGGGGGGGGAAATCCTTTCTGTTTATATTAAACATAGAAATTTAAAGGAAACTTCCTCACTCAACTCTTTCAAATAAAAAACAATAGGTGACATTAAACATAAGTTACTTAGTTGTCAACAATTCTCTATGGTGTTGCACTCATGCTTGCCATTTTTAAAGAGTGAATGTGTGTGGGTGGTGTGTCACGCATGCACACATTCCATGTCATCTGTGGGTAGTGTTCCCCATTACTACAGTCCTGCCATATGTAGTTGCAGTGATGAGAGGCATCCGCAGAAAGCAGCAGGAGGGGAATTCAGATCCAGTTCTTTCAGGTGAAAATGTAAAAAGGCAAAAAAAACCATTTAAAATATAGCTTCAATGGAGGGATATATTTAAAAACAAATGCTATCATTACAAATACAATACTGTTGTAGATGTTTATTGGAATCTAGCCTTCAGCAATGATGCAGACTTGGGAATATTGACCCAGCTCCTCAAGGAATTATAATAAAAGGTAAAGTCAGGGAGACAGTACTTAGCTGTCATCTACTAGAGTTAATCTTGGGAAGATATGAAGAGAAGTGTAAATGTCTTGATAGATAGTTTCAAGATAGGGAGGCTGGTAGATAACAGGAGAAACAGCACTGGCTCCAGGGTCAGAGGAACTGGCTTCAGATCCTATCTCTGATACTACACATGTGACCTTGGGTAAGTCACTTAATCTCTCTGGGATTCAATTTCCTCATCTGTAAAATGAGGGGATTCTTTCCTCCCACATTCCTTCCAGCTCTTGATCTATGATCCTGCGAAAAGATCTCAAGATTTCTATTCAGAACACTATGGAGGTGTAGCGTACTTACTGCATCTGATGATCATTTTTGCTATTTACAGTAAGTGTCCTATTTATCAGAGTTTTAAATTGTGTGTGACACTTCAAAGAATCATGCAAGTCCATTTTCTGATGAACTTATGGTATGGTTTCAGATAAATATAGTCGAAGTCATGAGAGTAGACCAAAAAAAGTGTATAGGCATGGCTAACAGAAACTGGAAAAATAAGCTTAAGAAAATTGGGCCCATAGAAGAAAAAAATGGGAGGTTGTCTGAAAAGAAAGGTTGTAGGAAAGAAGGTAGGGAGCTAAGGATGGGAGAAGTATACCAGAAGAATAACAAGAGAGAGGAGGATGGCCAAGATTAGACAGGGAGAAAATGAAAGCAAAGTTATAAATCAACCTTGAATGAAAAAGTCTTGATGAGGAAGATGAAGTTAACCCCAAATGAAAGGAGATACTAAATATACGGGGGAAATAAAGTTGCTTAGTATTATAGAAGGCATCTAGTGAAAAGGGTATGAGGCTAAGAATCAGGAGAACTGGGTCCTTATCTTGCCTATGACACAAAGTAGATATGTGGCAAGTCATTTAACCCTTTGATGTCTCTTCTGTAAATGGCAAGAATAATACTTCCTCTACCTACTTCATAAGGTTTTGGGAAAGTAACTGTGTAAGAACTTTGTAAATGTATGGCATGGGTATTCTATTACAGATTCGAAAGAAAGAAAAGAGCATTTCTGTATACCCAGAGAATTTGCAGTGATAGTTAAATGGATTTTCTAAATACTCAATAAGAATTGTAATACAGGCAGGAAATCCAAAGAGAACACTTTGAGGATAAAGGAAATGAATGAAAATCAGAGCTAGCAAGGACTGATGATGGAGAACCACTAGCAATGGCAGGAAAGACACCCAAGGTTAATAGGTTAGAAATCATGAATAGGAGATGTATAAGTTCAGTGTAATTCAACATTTATTAAGAGCTTACTGTGTACAAGGAAGGCATTGTGCTAGGTACTAGGCACACAAAGAGAAAACACATTAGTTCCTGGCCTCAAGGATTTTACATTTTACTGAAAGGAAGCAGTTTGGCACTCAAATAAGTCAACTCCCACTAATCTGTGGAGGGAGAGGCCATTAACAATGGTGTGGGGTATTAGGGAAGATTTCACAGAGGGGTTGGCATCTGAGCAAGACATAAAAATGAAGGTCAGTACTGTTATATGT